ATGAAAAGGAGTAAGATCATATCCTTTTCTGAAGCCATCATCCTCAGCAAACTAACACAGGAACAGAAAACCGAACACCGCATGTTCTCACTTATAAGTGTGAGCTGGACAGGGTGGGGAATAACACATACTGGGGCCTGTGGCAGGGTAGTGAGGGGAGGGAGAGCATCAGGAAAAATAGTTAATGAATGCTGAGCTTAATACCCAGGTGTTGGGTTGATACATGAGAAAACCATTGTGGCACATGTTTACCTATGCAACAGACATGCACATCCTGCACATGTATCCCGGAACTTTAAAAAAAAAAAAAAAGGCAGGCAGGGTGAGTGGTGTTTATTGAGCAGAGGAAAAACGTGCACAAATCACTATTCATGGAGCTGAAACCAAAAGCTGGGAATTCCCGTGACGCCGTTAGAAGTGAGGGAGCAGAGAGCAGGGTGGGGGCCAGATGTAAAACGTGGATGTAGCCGGGCGCGGTGGCTCAAGCCGGTAATCCCAGCACTTTGGGAGGCCGAGGTGGGCAGATCACGAGGTTAAGAGATGGAGACCATCCTGGCCAACATGGTGAAACCCCATGTTGTATTTTAGTCTCTACTAAAAATACAAAAAATTAGCTGGGCCTGGTGGCACGCACCTGTAGTCCCAGCTACTCGGGAGGCTGAGGCAGGAGAATTGCCTGAATCCAGGAGGCAGAGGTTGCAATGAGCTGAAACTGTGCCACTGCACTCCAGCCTGGTGCCTGGTGACAGAGTGAGACTCTATCTCAAAAAAAAAACTGGATGTAGAGGCCAGAGGAGGGACGCGACTCAGACAGCCAACCAGCTTTAAGATCAGGTGACTTGGGAAACAACGTTTCCCGTGAGGAAGTTGAAATAATTGTACGGAGCTGGTGGACAGAAGGTAAAAACGCCGGTCGGTTTACGAGGGGTGAGCGATTGTTCCCTGAGGGACTTCCCCTACACACCCCTGGCCTCCTGCCCCACTTCTCCTGCTGCCTGCAAAGCAGAGGATCTTTTCTGCTGGGAGAGTGACAGTCCTTCTCCTTCTTTCCTCATCTTGGCCTTAATTTCATAAGCACTAACAGCATGGTCTGACTCTCTGCATGTCAGACTAGTCACAGCCATAACCCTTTGTGATTTTGGGAGGTCTTACTGCGGCGCAGTGATGGGAGTGGAGTTTCATTGGTACCTGGGCAGGTGTGTTATCTGTTCGTCCCCATTGGCTTATTCCTCTTGCCTCCTGTTTGATTTTGGGCAAGGAAAAGGGTGTGGCCAATTTCCACTGATGTCATTTTTACTGTCAAATTTAAAGCAGAGATATTGGGTGTCCAGGAGGCCATCAGAGATAACGCCTTTATCTTGAGTGTTTTTCAAAGTTGTATAATTGAAGTGTTAGGTGCTGACCTGGGGTTCAGCTGAGGAGGCTGCAGATGGTCTCATCGGGGTGCTGTGACAAGGTATTGTGCTGCTGTTACTTTGCTCATTCCCACCCAGGCTTTCAAAGAGAGGGGAGGCCAAGGTGGGTGGATCACTTGAAGCCAGGAGTTCAAGACTAGCTTGGCCAACGTGGCAAAACCCTGTCTCTATAAAAAATACAAAATTATCCGGGCATGGTGGCATGTGCCTGTAATCCCAGTTACTCTGGAGGATGAGGTGGGAGAATTGCTTGAACCCAGGAGATGGAGGTTGCAGTGAGGCAGTGAGCCAAGATCTCTCCACTGTACTCCAGCCTGGGGCAACAGAGAGAGACTCTGTCTCAAAAGAAAAGAAAAGAAAAAGAAAGAATGAGAAAGTGAGAGATACAGGTTTAGATAACCCTAACCCTGTACATTTTCAAATCACAGAAATTCTAAGCACCTCTTCCATTCTAATCTGCATTTTCTTTTTTTTTCTTTTTTTGAGACAGAGTTTCGCTCTTGCTACCCAGGCTGGAGTGCAATGGCGCGATCTCGGCTCACCGCAACCTCCGCCTCCTGGGTTCAGGCAATTCTCCTGCCTCAGCCTCCCGAGTAGCTGGGATTACAGGCGTGCACCACCATGCCCAGCTAATTTTTTGTATTTTTAGTAGAGACGGGGTTTCACCATGTTGACCAGGATGGTCTCCATCTCTTGACCTCGTGATCCACCCGCCTCAGCCTCCCAAAGTGCTGGGATTACAGGCTTGAGCCACCGCGCCCGGCCCTAATCTGCATTTTCATAGTCATGAACACACAGAGTCATACAGTCACCTGAGCTGATCAAGGACTCACAAACTGAGTTTGCTTTGCATCAAGAATAAGAAAGTGAATTAAAGTAGAAAGACCTTTTCATACGACTAGATTTGACACCAAGCAGAAATCATTCCCCACATGGTTATGCCCATTATACCTGCTGTTTATGAAGCACCTGTTGTGGGTCAGGTGTGTGCTAAACACTCAACATTCACATATCCACTTTGTCATCAGTGACCTAGGAGATGGGGGTATTTTCTCCAATCTACAGATGGGGAAATCAAGGCTGAGGGCTCAAAGAAGTTGCTGAGGGCCACTGGCTAGCAAGTGCCAGGCGTGTGCTGCCTTCCTTCCTTTGTAGTTAGTCAGAAGGCCCATGGTTTCCGTAAGACCTCACGAATTTGTGCCACTGCCGCTTCCCACTCAGGATTCGCAAGGCTAGGAGAGGACAAACAGGGTCAACCGAGGGGAAGGAGCCTCCTGGAAAACTGTGATGAATTTGCAAGCCCAATGCGAGTGAAAACGTTTCAGACCTTCTTGCCTGGCTCTGCTGATGTGTGGTCGGGGAGGGTGAGCTTTATGTTTTCCAGAGCTCTAAATCATGACAGATGCTGGCACTGCAACCCTGATTGCCTCATTTACTCTTGTCCCGGCAAAAAGATTGAATACCACACTGCTGACACGGAGGAGGAATTTAGTGCTGCTTGCTAAACAGTGGGGCTGAAATGGACGGGGTGGGGGGGAGGCGGGTGTCATTTCTTCCCACCCTTAATGTGGTGAGGAGAGGAGATTTTGGTGATGTCCGCTGGACATGTGGCGACCACATTGTCTCTTGCTGCTGTTGTTGTTAATGCTATTAATGTCGTCAATATCAGTAAGTCATTTAATATTCACTGGTAGTTTGAGAAACAAGATCACGTGAATGATGACGATGCACTGGGTGCCACTCAGTGATTCTAGGCATTTTTTTTTGTCTACTTACAATGATTATTTTATTGGATTCTGACTGTAAGGTAAGGGTTATCATCCAACCCCTACCCCCCAACCATGGAGAAAGGGACTCGTGGGACTTGCGCCCAGTGAGACCTCCGGTCAGGCTAGCCTCGGCCTCAGCCAGTCCCCCCACAGCCCTCCCTGATGGCAGTGCTCAGGCACACGCCCCTGGTCCTGCGTTAGTGTGCTACTCGGCCTCGAGCCCAGGAGGAACCGTCAGTGACTGTGTGCCGTCCCAGTCCCGCTGAGGAAAGGGATGAGCAGGCAGCAGCCTCCACCCTCCACGAATCCCATCTGTGTCTCATGTCTGCAGTCTGCCTCCGTCCAGGCCTTTGAAGGAGGCACCTGCAGCCTCAGGCCTCTCCCACTCCCAGAGGACCCCTATGTCCTCCTCCCTGCATCTCTCCCTCTCTTCCCCTCCCTGCTCCCTTTCGTCCTTGAGCAGATTTGGCACTGAGTTGTCAGCTCCTCATCAGCTCGTGAGGGAAGCTGTGACTCTACACGCTGTTTAGAGGAATGTTTGTGTTCTCAGGTGGTCCCTGATATGGCTTGGCTCTGTGTCCCCACTCAGATCCCACCTTGGATTGTTATAATCACCCCATATCAAGGGAGGGACAAGACAGAGGCGACTGGACCGTGGGGGCAGTTTCCCCGTGCTGTTCTCATGATAGTGACAGCTGATGGTTTTATAAGTGTCTGGCATTTCCCTTGCTAGCACTCGTTCTCTCTCCTGCACCCCTGTGAAGAAGTGCCTTCCAACATGATTGAAGTTTCCTGAGGCCTCCCCAGCCACGTGAAACTACGTGTCAGTAAACCTCTTTTCTTTGTAAATCACCCAGTCTTGGGTATTTCTTCATAGCATTGTGAGAACGGACCAATACAGTCCCCGACTCCCAGAACTGATCAGTCACCGCAACCTCCTGCCCTAAGCTTTGAACACCTCTGCCAGCCTCCAGATTCATATGTCCCAGCCTAGTCACACCTTCTAAAGGCTACCCACTCTCTTCGGCTTTTGGCCCCCTTTTCCCTATCCTCAAGCCAGCAGTGGTAAGTGGAGCCCTTTTTTCATGCTTCTATCTCTCTGATTGGAGGAAGTTCCGTGTTTTTAAGGGGGCAAGTGATTAGATTGGGCCTCCCGGGATAATCCCATAAATCTTCTGACATCAAGGTCCAGAACCCGAATTCCATGTGCACAGTATCTCTTGCCAAGTAAGGTACCATATTCACAGGGGTGACACCGGGGGTGCAGGTCCTGCCTGCCACAGCACCTCCACACTCAGGATGGCATGCACAGCAGGTGCCTCTTGCAGAGTGGAAGACTTGGAGTAGGGAATGCGTTCGGGTGCTGCTTTGGGTGCTTCGTGCACTAAGTCTTGGTGTAGGCCATGCAGACATAGCCAGAGCCCTCAGATGTGGGTGCTGTTTTTACCCCGTTCTACAGTTGCAGGGACTGAGGCGCAGAGAATAAGTCACCTACAAAGTCAGAGCTGGAGGGACCCAGGCACTCGGGTCTCAGATCCCGTGTTCTCGCCTGCTGCACCATCGTGTGCTCTGCAGAGAAACACACACATACCAGGAAGTGCCAGGCAGTAGCCTGGCACCCAGGCCTTCCCCCGTGAGAAGAAGCTGAACTGCAGTGGCGTCTGCTCTGGTCCAGTTAACCTGCACACTCTTTAGGTCACATGATCTTGACTTTTCAAACCTCCCATCCTCTCTTGCTACTTAGTAAAAGCTTCTACGTTTTCCAAGTGTGGCGTGATTTCATGTTTGTGTCACTTTCTGCCTCCTCCTCGTGCAGATGCCTACCCTAATTCTGAAGTCGTCTATGTCTGGACCAACGGCTCCACCAAGTCTGTGGTGGTGGCAGAAGACGGCTCCAGACTGAACCAGTACCACCTGATGGGGCAGACGGTGGGCACCGAGAACATCAGCACCAGCACAGGTGAGGGCTCGGCACGCACTGTGCTCCCAGGCGCACGCAGGACAGATGAGGGCTCGGCATGCACTGTGCTCCCAGGAGCACACAGGACAGATGAGGGCTCAGCACGCGCTGTGCTCCCAGGCACACACAGGACAGATGAGGGCTCGGCACGCACTGTGCTCCCAGGTGCACACAGGACAGATGAGGGCTCAGCACGCGCTGTGCTCCCAGGCGCACGCAGGACACCGCACCCTCGGAGAGCTTGCCACTCTGGGCACCCCTCTGCAGGGGCTACATGGGAAGCAGCACAGCAGCCAAGCACACCCTGTCCTGGCCAGCTGCTCTCCCGGGCCACAGCTGCGTGAGAGCTGGGCAGGGAGTCCTCCCAGCCTGCCCCTCCTTGCAGCTGCACACAGCGGCACCAGCTGTGGCCGGCGGTTGCGGCGGACCTGCTTATATAACAGCCCCCTAAGCAGGAAAGTTAGACAGCTTCCTGCAGATACCTCCAGTCACCTGCTCCCCACCTCCTGCTTTACACAGTGCAGAGATTTCCCTGGAGTTGCGGTTGGGAAAGCACAACCAGGCAGCCTACAAAGAGCTGAAAGGTACAAGAAGGAAGCAGACGCTCTCAATGCCACATGCCCTGGGCTGGCATGAGCCCTGTAGGGCCAGTGCAGCCCCATCCCAGCCTGGCTTCTCCTGACACAGAGGTGGTGGGGAGACCAAAGGAACAGGATGCACCAAGTCTCCAGAGCCTGCAAGTTATGTGGCCAGATGTCTCCAGGGTAGGCAGGCCCAGCCATAGAGGTCAAGGTCACCAGGCAGTGCCATGAGCAAGGGAGGGGGTTTTGAGCTCCGAAGAGCCTCGGCAGCCTTGGAGAAAAGCCTAAAGGGAGGGAGGGAGCTCTGAGGGCAGAATGAGCTCTAAGCCCCAGAGAATACCCTCAGGCAAGCCCACTGTCGGCATGGCTGATTGTCAGCACCCTACCCTTGCAGCTGGCAGAGCACACAGGCCGTTCAGTGCATAGCCCGTCCTGAGTGCATACGCATGGGGTCAGCGCTCTGTGGATTCACGAGCAAGCCGTGCATCCTTGGGGGCTGTGAGAGTCTGGGAGGACGGCTTCATCGTTTGGTTACCAAGCTAAAGGGAAAGGCAGAGGGAACGGGCCGGTTCTATGCAAACCAGTGGAAGTTGGTGCGGCAGAGTTTGGGGTAAGCAACCGTGACGCTGAGGGAGGACGCTTCAGTTTGGAGCCGTTTCACGTAGTTCTTTAAATACTAATAACTGGGATTGCTACTCCTGTTTGCATTTTACAGTCTTAAAAATCACTGCCAAATTTTCCTACCCTCAACTCAAAAATGAAACAAAATAAAAAGACTACTGCCAAAAGAATGAGAAGCAGGAGAGTAATTTCAAGCCCTGCTGGAAAACGAATGCCGTTTCACTTCTGCAAGTGCCAAGGAGACACAGACTTGGATCATCAGTAGAGGCCCAGTCCCCACTGCCAACACACCCGTCTCCCCATCGCCCATTCCTTCCTGTGGTGGGGGCGGCTCTGCTCCCTCACCTGCTCTCACCTGCCGTGGACTGTGGGAAAAGTGCACCTTGGCACGGCTGGCCTGTCCAGGCTCTGCTGAGAGTGTTGGCTCCTGTGGTGGCAGAGGGCAGATGTTGCCACATGTGAGTGCTCTGGTTCCTTTGTGTCCGACAAACAACATGTTTTAAGCCTGTGCTCAGTGAAGCATCCACAGTGGGCTTCCATCCCAACAGTCAGCACTGCAGCTGTGCTGTCAGACTCGACGTCCCAGCATTCAGTCCCTGCACCAGCAGACCCCTGCTCCGACGGACAGACTAGGCCTGCGCTGGTGGAGCCCCCATGCCTGTTCTCCCCGCGTTCACGGTGCATCCCGCTCTCCGGCCACACCATCCACTCCTTGCAGTTCAGCCACAGTTCTTTGAATTGCTCTGCCTCCACCCCTCAAAGAACAGTCCCCGTCTCCCCTCTCACGCAGGGAGAGGCAAATGCAGGTAGCAAGAAGGCTGGCCCAGCAGGCCTCCCACTCCCTGACCACAGCCGCCCACCTCAGCTCCTTACCAGTTCACCATGAGGACCGCATCATTCTCAGCAATGAACGGGAGGTCCCCTCGTGCCTCCCACACAGCCAGGCAAATCCAGAGGAGGCATTGGGGCATCGCCAAGGGAATGCCCCTGATTTCAGAGAATAGGCAACACCTTTCTGCTAGGTGGTAGAAAGGATGGGCTGCCAGGGTCCAGGGCCTCCTGAGCTGCTGCATCTCACCCTGCACCTGAGATGCAGCCAGCACAGAGCCTACTGCTGGTGGGAGTGGTCCTCTCACCTCCCTGGAGCCTCTGGGCTGGAAACAAGGACTCTGTCCACTCTCTGCAGGGCTCTGTGAAATCCTGGGAGGCTAAATCCTGAAATCCTAATTGCAGAAGCAGGCAAGGGGTGGGAGGGGAGAGGCACAGATTGTGACTGGAGATTAGTAAAACACGCAAATCTGATTTTCCCCCAGAAGAGCATCCATCAGCAGAGGCTCTTCAGAGACCAGGGATCATAAGACTTACTTATAAAATGACTGTTAAGGAATCCATGCATCCTCCTGTGTCCTCTCCTCAACCCAGATCACACAAATGAATGCTTGTCCAGCCCCACGGGAGTGGAAGGGAGGCTCCGGGTGAACTCCCGGGATGCAGCAGGCGGAGACTCTGGGGGCCTGATGTGCGGTCATTTGCTGGTTTGCAGGCGAATACACAGTCATGACAGCTCACTTCCACCTGAAAAGGAAGATTGGCTACTTCGTCATCCAGACCTACCTTCCCTGCATCATGACCGTGATCTTATCCCAGGTGTCCTTTTGGCTGAACCGGGAGTCGGTCCCAGCCAGGACAGTTTTTGGTGAGTGTCCCCAAGCCAGGCCTGGCCACAGGTGTCTTACCACTGACCCTGACCACCACGCAGCAGCAGCACGAAACTTCTGGTGCCCCCTCTTCATGGTGTGACCTGGAAAACAAATTGACCGATTAGTTAAGAATTGAGAGTCAAGGATTAGGGTTTAGGATTTCTCTTTAAAGAAGGGTTTAAGGAATATCACGTGGTCTATTGGATGGTTATTTCCTTGTTGAAAAGCCTTGTGTGGTTTGACACTGTCAGCGTGTATCTGTTTTATGTGAGATTCTGCTCTGCACGCTGAGCATTCCTTATCCCAAATGCTTGGGACCAGAAGTGTTTCAGGTATCAGATTTATTTAACATTTTGGAAGAATCACATGATACCATTTGAGCATCTCTAATCTGAAAATCTGAAATGAGCTCCACGGAGCATTTTCTCTGAGCCCTGTGTCAGGATCCAAAGAGTTTTGGATTTTGTAGCATTTCAGGTTTCAGATTTTTAAATAGGGATACTCAGTCTGTAGAATGTTAGTTCTCATAAAGGATGACTTTGTAAGTTACCAGGCAGTTTTCTTTGAAATATGCTGCTTTAAAATTAACCACAAAATAACAATTGATGAGATACAATAGTAACGAACTAAATCTGTATACCTGATGAAACTCTAGAGCAGCGTTATTTTACAGCCCTAACACACAAACTGCCTTGGGAGAGCTCTAACTCAGGAGTTACCTCGGCACAGCAGACGCAGTTGAGAGTCTGAGTCTTTTTTTTTTTTTTTTTTGAGACGGAGTTTCGCTCTTGTTACCCAGGCTGGAGTGCAATGGCGCGATCTCAGCTCACCGCAACCTCCGCCTCCTGGGTTCAGGCAATTCTCCTGCCTCAGCCTCCCGAGTAGCTGGGATTACAGGCATGCACCACCGTGCCCAGCTAGGTTTTGTATTTTTAGTAGAGACAGGGTTTCACCATGGTGACCAGGATGGTCTAGATCTCTTGACCTTGTGATCCACCCACCTCGGCCTCCCAAAGTGCTGGGATTATAGGCTTGAGCCACCGCGCCCGGCTCGAGAGTCTGTCTTAATTACATCAAAGCTCAGCGTCCTCAGAAGGAAGATACTGAAGGCGGTTTTGCCACTCGGGTCATCCTGGATGCTCACGTCTTTGTAAACTGTAACGCACGATCACCACCAGCATTTGCTATTGCACTTACCTTTCCAAAGCAGGAAAAATCTTAGCATGTGTTTTATCTGAATGCTCCCCAGAGCGTAGGATGCCCAAAGGCTCAGGGAGTTCAGGAGTGGATGGCACGGGGTGCTCCCACCTGATCATCCCTGTCTCCAGCCACAAGTCCAGCTTCACTTGCCAAGCCTAAACGAGCTTCAGGATTGTTTCAGGAGGGTGTGGAAGTTGGCTGGTGACTTGGCAGTGCTCCCCAAGTTAATGTTCCTGATGAAAATCTTTAGTGGAAATTTAGTTGGTAGGCAGAAAAAACTGGGGAGGGTATTGCTTGTTCTAGTCGGTATTTTTTTTTGGAGGAGGACAGGGGATATTCCCAGTGCATATTAAGATGTTAAAGGCTCATGATCATGCATAGAAGAGGCTTGTTTCTGATCATGCATAGAAGACTCCCCCTCAACACAGTGATTACCTGGATTTCTAAAAAACAATCAGCCGGGTGCAGGTGGCTCACCCCTGTAATCCCAGCACTTTGGGAGGCCGAGGCGGGTGGATCACGAGGTCAAGAGATCGAGACCATCCTGGTCAACAAGGTGAAACCCCGTCTCTACTAAAAATACAAAAATTAGCTGGGCATGGTGGCACGTGCCTGTAGTCCCAGGTACTCGGGAGGCTGAGGCAGGAGAATTGCTTGAACCCAGGAGGCGGAGGTTGCGGTGAGCCGAGATCGCTCCATTGCACTCCAGCTTGGGTAACAAGAGTGAAACTCCGTCTCAAAAAAAAAAAAAAAAATCAAAGTTCTCTATTGATTCCTTTGGAAGTGTTGATTTCATGCACGGAATGACATTCAGTGAGTACATGTAGAGCTTTGAAGGATGGCATTGAATGAAATTCATGGTGGCCATGACCCCAGCCGTACGATGCGACCTTGGTGCTGCGCTGGTTTCCTGGGGCTGCCGTAACCAAGTCCACACACCAAGGGCTCAGGCAGCAGAAATGAATCGTCTCACAGTTCTGGAGGCTGGAAGGCTGGGATCAGGGTGTGGACAGGGCTGCCTACTCCTGAGGCCTACAAGGGAAGGGTCTGTTCCCGGCCTCCCTTCTGGCCTCTGGTAGCTGTTCAGCTTGTGGCAGCATCCCTCCAGCCTCACACGGCACGCTCCCTGTGTGCACGCCTGTCTCCAAAGTTCCCTGTTTTATAAGGGCACCAGTCATAGCAGGTGAGGGTCCACCCCAGTGACCTCATTTTAACTCAATTACTTCTTTAAACACTGCATTTTCAAATAAGGTTATAATCTGCAGTACTGGAGGTTAGGACTTAACCCTAGGAATTTCACGGGCACACGGTAGCAGGTGTGTTACACCCCCATCCCCCACACAGGTGCACGCTTATGCAGACGGCAAAGTCAGAAGGTGGAACCTATGTGAACTGCAAGAGACCAGCAGTCCTGGCTCCCACTGCGGGCAGTCTCATCTACCTGCTGGTGAACTTGAGCACCTTGCTAAATACTTTTAAATCTTCAGGCTTCCCACCTGTCAATCAGGGATCCCGACACCCATCCAGAATGCAGCTTAGACCAGAGTCTGACAGTCAGTGGACCCAATAGCTGGCACATAGTCTAGTTCCAGTCCTAAGGAACATCCCCTTCCAGGGATCCAGCCTTACGGTGTGATCACTGCAGAGTTTCCCTAGTGGCCACAAGCACCTTGTACAGCAGACTCCAGGGGACACTCTTCCCTCTTTGAGGGAGTGACATGCCCAGACCCAGACTCAGATATGGTGCTTCTGTTGCCCTCTGGCTCTTACAAGTCTGCGTGTCAGGTTAATCCCTGTGAAAGCCTGTCTCACATTTGCAGGGAGCCCACTACTTCCAGATGCATAGTAAATCACTGGGAGGCACCTGCTGGCTGCCGTGTGGATGTGAGTGTCATTCTGCCGTCCATCTTGCCCTAGTGCTGCAGAAACGTGTCACTGGCTCACATATCTTTGTGGAGCACTGGCTTCCGGCTGGCTTTGCTCATGGCCGTGGGAGCCAAAATCAGACCTGAACCCCTGCTTCCTCAGTTCACATTCTAGAGCAAAGGGACAGTTAGGACACAGAACGTCACCACTCATCGAAGTGCTGTGAATTTGCTAGATGTCAGCAAAACAATAGAGGAAGGCACAGGCTAGATTAAAATCACCTCCCTTGGGAGACCTAGGCGGGCAGATCGAAAGAGGCCAGGAGTTCAAGACCAGCCTGGTCAACATGGCGAAACCCCATCTCTACTAAAAATACAAAAATTAGCCCGGTGTGCTGACGCCTGCCTGTAATCCCAGCTACTCAGGCAGTGGAGGCACAAGAATTGCTTGAGCCTGGAAGCCCGAGCTTGCAGTGAGCCAAGAGTGCTCCACGGCACTCCAGCCACGGTGACAGAGCAAGAGTCTGTCTCAAAAACATAAAAATAAAAATCACTAGTCCCCTTTGTGTCTGTCACTTGGGGCATGTTGTACTGAGGTCCCAGGGGCCGGCACTGACCTCTGTTTCCTTTTTCACTCTGCCCCATCCGACCCCCACAGGGGTCACCACGGTGCTGACCATGACGACCCTCAGCATCAGCGCCCGGAACTCTCTGCCCAAAGTGGCCTACGCCACCGCCATGGACTGGTTCATAGCCGTGTGCTACGCCTTCGTCTTCTCCGCACTGATAGAGTTTGCCACGGTCAATTACTTTACCAAGAGAGGCTGGGCCTGGGATGGCAAAAAGGCCTTGGAAGCAGCCAAGATCAAGGTACTGCATGTTTCTCCTCCCTTCTTCCAGGTCCCCTTGACAGAGAAAGGGTGCCTGATTCTACCCAAGCATGAGATGAGGTACTGCTCCTCCCTACCCGCCTGCCCCCACATGCTCCTTCCCTTTTTTTCAAGGCCCTTACAAAGTCTTACCGACAGCAGGTCCAGCTTCACTCCAGCAAAAGGTGATGTGATGTGAGTGGCGTGGGCCTGTTTAAATTCCAGCCTATTATTTTGCAGAAGTAACTCCTGCCTCTTGAGGGACGACCTGTCTGGTTTGAATTGTGGAATCTGTTCCTCCGTGCGTTTTATACCATTTCACCGTGCTGGGTGTCCTCTTCAGGTGGCCTTCGGGTCGAGAACGGGGCATCGACTTAATGGAAGGAGTTTATCAGCGAAGCACACCCAGCCCCACTCAATACGTGACTTAACCCCCTTACATCAGGCAGTTGTTGCTAAAGCGTTACTCTGTTCTAAGCAGATAACCATCGAGGATTTAAAGGGTGATTTATGCCCAAATCTTAAGAACATTTGAAGAAAAAAAATTGACCAAGATTCCAAGCTGCGCTGGTCCCTTGGGGAGACGAGAATAAGGTACATCCACAGTAAATAAAGCAGCATGTGATGAACTGCTAATTACACCAGGCAGAAAACAAATGCGCTGACCTCTGCCGAGAGAACAGGAGGTCCGAGCCGTCAGGGTGACCGGAAAGTAAAATGTAATCTGTCCTTTGGAAAATCAGCATGCAGGGAGTCCTGGAAGCCATTACAGAGGCCCTGAAGTGTAGGTCCTGAGCTCCCAACCAGGGGCCACAAGCCAGGTACAGCACAGCCAGAGGCCCTGGCTCCACCCAGAGACCAGGTTCCATCCCTTCCACAGCCCTGTGCTTGCTCTGAGGGCTTGACTCTGCCTTTAGGAGTTCTGGCCTGACCTCGCCCATCGGCCTCTGGCTTCCTCCAACTGCCAGGAGCCCCTCCCCTGCTGCAGCTTCACAATAGGAGCCCCACTTCCAAGCCTAGATCCCTGGCTGGAGGAAGTCCTGAAGGGGCCCATTCTGGGTGCTCTCATGGAGGGAGGAAGGGCCTTGGCTGCGGGCATGCTTTGGGGGCTGGGAGGATCTACAGGAGTGGTCTGACCACACTGGGTGAGAGGGACTGGGGAGCTGGGAGCAGGGTATTCTCAGATGATGGAGGTTCTCGGCCAAAGCGTTTGAACTTGTTCCTGCAGACCGGGGGTCAGAGAAGGTGCTGTGCAGGGAGAAAGGAGAATGGATTCTGGGGAGACAGGGATTCCCAACACCCAGCGATGTGTCGCTGAGAGGTGCGCGTTTGCAGCCTGCCTGGGACTTAGATGGTGCCTGATGGATAGCGGGCTGGAGCCCAGTCTGAAGTCAGGGGGCAGCCAGAGTCCCTGGCAGTCCCTGAGGCTGTCGGGCTCACGCCTGTGAGTCTAGGAGGAGCGTGAGGCGCCGGGTGAATGGAGAGAGCACACTCCATGTCAGGTGTTGTTGAGTGTTGCCTTCACTGTCAGTCACCACGACCGCTCTGCCTCCTGCAGCCCTAATCTAATCGCCATTCGGAACGGAGGCTTGGAGGGAGGAGAGAGGGTGAAGGGGATGTGCATTGTCTAATCTGACATGAGCAAAGGGTCTTCTAGAATAAGCCGCGTGCCTTGGGCTGGCTTGTGGAACCCCAAGACCCTCTTGTTCCGGGGAAGGCAGTGGTGCTGGGGTTCCACCCCTGTTGTCAGGAAGGCTCTGTGCGCCGGAAACTGTGGTGCATCTGCTGGCATGCAGGTGGCACACCCCGCGGTCAGACACTCGCCTCGAGCGTGGATCCGCCAGCCTGCTGTCAGCCTACTCAAGTCAACTCTTCCATGGAAGTAGAGAGGACTTTAAAAACATGGACAGACTGTGTTCACCATTGTTCCAAGTTGGGATCTCCAGAGCAAACATTGGCTCAGAGTTTGGGGTGTAAGGCAGTTTTCAGGGGTGGCCGTTTGGGAAAGGAAAGAGGAGGCAGTGAGATTCAGAGAGGAAGAAAGTGAAGCATGATGCAAGCCCAGCAGAGCACAGGCTAACCCGCCGGGGAGCGTGGAGCAGACGTCCAGTGGAGTTGCCCGGTGTCAGGGACATGGGCAGGGCTTTAGACTCCTGCCTCGCTGCCCACCAGATGCGGCTGGTTTCCTCAGGAAGGGCATGACCGGCCAGGCAGCCCTGGGCAGCTCAAGCTGCCAGAAGAGCCAGCACCCGGCCACACTGCCAGGAACACGTCCTTCCTTCGAGGCAGATGGATTCGGGGGTGCGTGTCCATGTCTACCACAAGCCCTGTGACTATGCTGAGTCCCAGGCAGGTACTCCCCGCCACCCACCCACACCCACACCCCTACTGCACATTCCTTCCCAGTAAAAACCCACACTCTCAGTGCAGAGAGTAGCTTCTAAAGGGCCTTCCCTTCACTTGGTTCCACCCAGAGCTAGAACCATTCTCAGCAGTCACATGCATTTGTGGTTTTCTTCTGGCGGATCCGCATGAGTGCTCACGTAATGATGGGGAAGGCGGGGTTGGCAAAACGAGGGTCCTCGTGCCCCTGCCCCTGGCCTGGTGTTGGTTCACCTGTTTCCCTGGCTCCGGCTCCATGCTTGGCCTCTCTGCTTTTTATCTTTCCCTTATTCTTAACAGTTGATTCGTCTTCTTTCCGATCTTGTGTTTTTCAAGTTTTAGTTAATGAGGCTATATTACTTTAGTTTTTCTAACATTTTATTATGCACCTTTTTAAATGTATAGCAATGCTTGAAGAGGTTTCCAGTGAAAACCTGTCTGCTGTTAACATTTACCTTTGCCTGTGCCGTTACCACCTGTCACCTCTCTCTCTATCCGTTCATCAATAAGCCCATCTTCAATCCATCTTATTTCATTATTGTTATTATTTTTGTTTTTAATCAGTCTCGGTATACTGTGAAAAATTGCCAGTGCCGACTGTATTTCAAGTTGTCATGGCAGGGTATTGGGAAAAGTTTTCAATTAGCAATAACCGTGCCTCGGATAAACCTCATTGGCTCCGATACTGCCACTGAGCAAAGCTTATTGTTATGTTTTTGAGATGGAGATTCACTCTTGTTGCCCAGCTGGGGAGCAGTGGCGCGATCTCAGATCACCACAATCTCTGCCTCCTGGGTTCAAGCAATTCTCCTACCTCAGCCTCCTGGGTAGTTGGGATTACAGACACGCACCACCACGCCCAGCTAATTTTTTGTATTTTTAGTAGAGACAGGTGTTCACCATGTTGGTCAGGCTGCTCTTGAACTCCCGACTTCAGGTGATCTGCCCATCTTGGCCTCCCAGAATGCTGGGATTACAGGTGTGAACCACCGTGCCCGGCCAAGCCATCTTATTTTTTGCTACATTTCAAATGAATTTCAGATGGCAGTGCATTCCCCACTCCATGTGCCAGCATGCATGTCATTAACTAGAGTCTAATACTAGCTTACTGTTATATTCCTTTGAAGCAAAATTCATAGTGTAAAATGCACAAGTATTAACGGCATGTTTGCTGAGTGTGGACAAATACGTACATTGTGTGTAACTCAAATCCCTGCCACAGTAGAGGACGTCACTGGCCTCCAGAAGGCTCATCGTGCTCCCTCCCAGGCAGTGCTCGACCCCACCTATCCAAACACATCCACTTTTTTGATTTCTTCCACCATAATGTATCTTACCTATTTAGAATTTCATATCCAAAAAAAGAAAAAATACAGGCCGGCGTGGTGGCTCACACCTGTAATCCCAGCACTTTGGGAGGCCGAGGCGGGAGGATCACAAGGTCAAGAGATCAAGACCATTCTGGTCAACATGGTGAAACTGCATCTCTACTAAAAATACAAAAAATTAGCTGGGCATGGTGGCGTGTGCCTGTAATCCCAGCTACTCAGGAGGCTGAGGCCGGAGAATTACCTGAACCCAGGAGGCGGAGGTTGCGGTGAGCCGAGATCACGCCATTGCACTCCAGCCTGGGTAACAAGAGCAAAACTCTGTCTCAAAAAAAAAAAAAAGAAAAGAAAAAGAAAAAATATGTCTTCACAAAAAATGTATACAAGAACGTTCATAGCTGCTTAATCCCTAAGGGTCAAGATTAGAAGCAGTCCAGCTGTCCATTGATAGGAGAGTAAGCAAACGGTGGCACATTCATAAAAAGACACATCGCTTAGCCACGGAAAGGAGGGCGTGACGGATACATGGGCGATTCTCAGAAGCCTTGTGCTGAGTGGAAGACGCCTTCCCAAAAGTGCACTCTGTACCATGATGTTTAATCGCTTCCTTCCTCCTTCCCACGAGGTCGCACCTTAGGGCTTCCCTTACATCCACACACCTTATTCCTTCCTGCTGCTGCGTTTGAAGGTAAAGACGTGATGGCTGCCTTGCAGGGGAAGTCCCAGTTCTGTTTGTGCCAGGATCTTGAGAAATGCGAGACTTTTTTTTTTTAACTTATTTTAAGTTTGGAGGTACACGTGCAGGTCTGATGTACAAGTAACTCATGTGACGGGAGTTTGTCGTACAGATCATTTCATCACCCAGGTACTAAGCTTAGTACCCAATAGTTACTTTCTCTGCTTCTCTCCCTCCTCCCACCTTCCACTCCCATGCCTGTTGTTCCCCTCTTTGTGTTCATAAGTTCTCATCATTCAGCTTCCACTTGTAAGTGAGAACATGTGGTATTTGGTTTTCTGTTCCTGTTTTAGTTTGCTGAAGATAATGGCCTCCAGCTCCATCCATGTTCCTGCAAAAGACATGATCTCATTCTTTTTATCGTTCTTTTTTAGGGCTGCATAGTATTCCATGGTGTATATGTAGCACACTCTCTTTATCTGATCTGTCATTGATGGGCATTTAGATTGATTCCATGTCTTTGCTATTGCAAAAAGTGTTGCAATGAACATTCTCATGCATCTGTCTTTATGGTAGAATGATCCGTATTCCTCTGAGTACATGCCCAGTAATGGGATTGCCAGAGTTGAATAGCAGCAATGGCTCTCATGTGTGCGCAGTCTGCAGGCTACCTGGAGGCATCAGTGGAGAAGGACCCTCTCCCAGGCTACATGGGTTTCTCTCTTTTGAGAGATTTACCTTTAGAATGCCAAGGGGAGCTGACCATTGCCTTCAAGTGTCTTTATGTTTCTATTATATTTTGCAGAAAAAGCGTGAAGTCATGCTAAATAGGTCAACAAATGCTTTTACAACTGGGAAGCTGTCTCACCCCCCAAACATCCCGAAGGAACAGACCCCAGCAGGGACCTCGAACACAACTTCAGTCCCAGTAAAACCCTCCGAAGAGAAGACTTCTGAAAGCAAAAAGACTTACAACAGTATCAGCAAAATCGACAAAATGTCCCGAATCGTATTCCCAGTCTTGTTTGGCACTTTCAACTTGGTTTACTGGGCAACGTATTTGAATAGGGAGCCAGTGATAAAAGGAGCCGCCTCTCCAAAATAACGTGCTGCACTCCCAAACTCCAAGACAGCCATACTTGTGGCGAAATGGTACCAAGGAGAGGTCGTGCCCACCGGGGGGCTCTGCATACGTGGGCACTATCTTTCAGGAAAGTTTTGCATGTTTAATAATATGTAAAAATAATATTGCCTTGATGTTTCTATATGTAACTTCAGATGTTTCCAAGAGGTCCCATTGATAAATCGAGCAAACAACTTTCTAGAAAAACAGAGATGGTGACTACCACTCAGATGCCCAGTTAACAGACGTTGATAGTTTACAAACAAGATACGTATATTTTTCACTGCTTCACGTGTTACCTAACAACGTTTTTTATACTTCGTCATTTCATACAAATTTTCCCAGCGAATAAATATTTTAGGAAACTCTCCACGGTGATTACTTGACCAACTATATTGTGAGAAACAGAGAACACGAAGGGCACATTTTTCTTGACGAGAAAACTTGGACACTTCCATACAAAATGAATTGCCTTTGATAATTCTTACTGTTCTGAAATTAGGAAAGAATTGCATGATCTTACATGAAGAATAGGGTAGGCAACCGTTTATGCAGGCACATGAATGACAGAAATGCATCACGTGTTAGATACACAAATAAAGTATTTCCCTGGGGAAAAAACTAACTGCTTAAATATTTTGGGAGGGAAAAGAAACATTTCTTACCCACCCCACAGCACCCACTAACTGAACAATAGCCAAGAAAGAAAAGGAGATGTTCAGACACAGAGTCCCACCCGGCCATGTGAGTGCTGTCTCTGAAATGCCGACCACCTCTCCCTGCAGCCAGCGTGTAGTGCTTCAGTGGTGAGAAGTTGTAATTGAGTTATTTTCCATTTTGTTTCCTTGTATGTATTTCATGACTGGACTTACTGCTCTGTTAGCTTTTGTATATGAATCTTAAATGTTCATTACAAAATAAAAAAATGAACTGATCTTGTGGACATATATCATTCTTTTTTAAAAATTTCATGTTTTGGTGGACTCATTTCCTAGAAGTGATGTAAATGGAACCCGTCATGAAATCGTTTGGGAACAAAGCAAAGCAACATGAAACGCTTGGTGGGTCGTCTCTGGTCCAGTCTAATTTTATAGAGTAGCACCTGGAAAGAAAACATCCTTAAACCACAGTGAAGGTGACAGGTAAAAGCAGGTATAGCCCGGCTGGGCGCCGTGGCTCAAGACTGTAATCCCAGCAGTTTGGGAGGCCGAGGCGGGTCTCAAAAAAAAAGCAGGTATAGCCCATCACAGATATCTCAGTGTGCAGTGAGGCTTGGGCCTCTACTTGACAGAGCCTTCTCTGAGTGTGGTTTGTTTTTTGTTGTTGTTTCTTTTTTGAGACGGAGTTTCACTCTTGTTACCCAGGCTGGAGTGCAACGGCGCGATCTCGGCTCACTGCAACCTCCGCCTCCTGGGTTCAGGCAATTCTCCTGCCTCAGCCTCCCGAGTAGCTGGGATGACAGGCACGCGCCACCATGCCCAGCTAATTTTTTGTATTTTTAGTAGAGACGGGGTTTCACCATGTTGACCAGGATGGTCTCGATCTCTTGACCTCGTGATTCCACCTGCCTCGGCCTCCCAAAGTGCTGGGATTACAGGCTTGAGCCACCGCGCCCAGCCCGATCCTGTTTTCATATACCATGTAGTTATACTTCTCTCTTATAATCTGTAGAGTTTAGCTTTGCAGTGTTGTTTGGAGAAAAATATTCCGCGTTTTGTCCAGAAGGCTACATGTGTAAACACTCACTTTGAACATCTCAATCCTAACGGAAAACGACGTCTTCCACACCAGGTTCTAGTAACTTCATTGACAAGTTCTAGCCTTCATTACAGAAAACCTCCAGTGAGCTCCAGCTTGAAGATATGCCTACCATATTTACAAGCTGCTGAATCTTAATTCTGATGAATATTTAGTCAAAAAGGTCATATTAGTTTCCTATTTTCTGATTTTGTATTGTTGATATTTCAGTGTTTGCTATTTTTAATGAGAACCTAATAAGAATCACCTTGGGGATAATAAGGCAAGATATAATAAGTTCTGAGATTCATTATAAATTACAGTGCCCTACTTTTAGAGGCAGGATATTTAGATGTATCTATTTTGACATCACCACAAATAGAATATTCTAATATGTTGTTAATCAGTATTATTTCTGTACTTTCTCTGGAATCTAAAGACCTATCCAGGAGAAGCCTTGACTAACACTGACCTCAAAGTATGTGTCTGTGTGCAGTAATTGGGTTCAAATGCTCCCAGAGTAGCTACAAAACTTGAAATAGCACAGCAAACATCCTTTGTTGAAGATTGGCAGGGAGGCTGTACATCTTCTGACCTACTTGTCATACTCACGTCTTAGAAATAATGCTTTATGTCTCTCATGGGGACTGTGAAAAGAAAATAAATCTCAGGACCCCAAAATCACTAAAGCAAGGGAGAAGTCAAGCTGGGAACTCTGCCAGGCAAAGCTGCTCCCATCTTACTCCTAAACAAGATGGCTGCAAAGACAGGCAGCTACATACCTCCCTCACAGTTTGTCCACAAGGCAGTTCCTTGGGGACAATGCACAGGCAAAACTCAAAATCATCCCTCTGCTCTCCTGAGACACATTCCTTTGCCGTATTGTTTGACTAATCCAGACTGTCTGCCTATGACCTGGAAGCCCCCTCCACACTTCCAGTTGTCCCACCTTTCTAGACCAAACCAGTGTACGTCTCACATATAGCAATCGATGTCTC